AATTCCCAAAATCGTCTCTGCATTCTGGATTGCAAGAATTCTGAACTCCTTCAGAACTCTACTCGTCACATCTCGTCTCATCTCATTCCTGAGAGAACTCTGAAGCTTCTGTATCAGAGAACTTTTTCATCTCACTTCTCCATGAGCTGCATCAGAGCGCGTTGAACTGGGAAGTTGCCACATTTAAATGGGTCGACTTCCGGTTCATTTGAGAGCTTTCTAATTGGTGGATGGACCAGAACAGAGGTGTGGTTTGTGATGTAAGGTGTTATGAAAGTCAAGGATAGAGATTAGGATTGTTTAAAACAGACAGAAAGATTATTGGAGAAAACCAGACTTCGTGGAGTCTCTACTCCTAGTATCTGCTGTAAAAGTTAAACATGACATTTCTTTTCAGTAAACTTTTTAGTTGACCGAAACCTGAACTTTAACACACACTTACAAACTTGCTCATTGAAGACAGAAAAATCAAGAAATGCATATTACCCTGATTTCTTCTTTGAATGAGGAATAAAAATCATTACTTACTGTTTATGTAAATAAAAATGAGTAGTTCTCTTCAACCTGTAAACATTGTTTGAACTAACACAATTTGATTATTAAAACATTTGTAAAATAGTAATGATCATAGAGAATTGTCATTTCTACTTGATTAATTCAGTCTCAGGATGGGTCAAACTGTATTTCTGGATGCAGATCAATGAAATAACAGTTTCTGTCCATCTGGTCAGATTTGACATCAGGTCAAGTTTACTACACAGGCTTCTGAATGGAGCATTGACAACAACTTGGGCTATGCTTGTCCCCTCTGGTCCGGATGACATGGCGTCCCAGTGTTCCATAAAGAACTTCAAATCGTGACTCATCTGACTACAGAACAGTCTTCCATATTGCCACACTCCATTTTAAATGACCCCTGGCCCAGTGCAAACGTCTGAGCTTGTGGAGCTTGCTTAGAAATGGCTTCCTCTTTGCACTGTAGAGTTTCAGCTGGCAACGGCGGATGACACGGTGGATTGTGTTCACTGACAATGCTTTCTGGAAGTATTCCTGAGCCCATTCTGTTATTTCCTTGACAGTGGCATTCCTGTTTGAGGTGTAGTGACGTTTAAGGACCCGGAGATCACGAGCATCCAGTAGAGTTTTACGGCGTTGACCCTTACGCACAGCGATTGTTCCAGATTCTCTGAACCTTTTGATGATGTTATGCACGGTTGATGATGATAACTTAAAAGTCTTTGCTATTTTACGCTGGGTAACACCATTCTGGTATTAATGCACTATCTTTCTGCGCAACAATGGTGGAATTGGTGATCCTCTTTTTGTGCACTTTGAGATTTTTGTTAGCACTTTGAGATTTTTGTTAATGAAAAGTGCGTTACAAATTAAATTCATTATTATTATTATTCCTCTTACCATCTTGGCTTCTGAGAGACACTGACATTTTGAGAAGCTCTTTTTATATCCAATCATGTTGTCAATTGACCTAATTAGTGTTAATTGGTCTTCCAGCTGTTCGTTATATGCCCAATTTCCTTTTTTCCAGCCACTTATTGCTACTTGTCCCAACTTTTTTGGGATTTGTTGACACTGTGAAATTTTGAATCAAAATATTTTTCCTTTAAAATGTTACATTTACTCAGATTAAACTTTTGATCTGTCATCTATGTTATATTACGAATAAAATATTGACATTTGCCATCTCGACATCATTGCATTCAGTTTTTGTTCACAATTTGTTTATTGTCCCAACTTTTTTGGAATCTGTTTTTTTGTTTTCATTTTTAGGGATCATGGTGGTCTGTGGCTGTTGCTGTGTGCCCTGCTGTCATTCACTGGCGGTCAGATTCATCACCTCTACAATCGAGAAAGGTGGCAGTGAGTGCCCTCCTGCTTACAAAATGTACAGCCAGGGATGAGACATGGAACTATCCTTAGTGGCCATCGCACCGCTACTGGAAGAAGCTGACTGTTCTCGCCAGCTTTAAAGTACACTGTTTTGCTAAAATGTTGCATCGTGTGTTTACCAAGAAAGATGAGGAAAAGTTTATTTTCCTGTCCAGGTGTAGTCTGGGTCAGAAATGACCACCGTCACAGAGGCGTGAGGTGATGTCCTGCTTTCCTCCTTAAAATGAACAACTGCCTCAGGGGTTTTTCCAGGACATGCAGAGATACACCTATTCAAGGATGGATAGTTAGGAATAATGGTCTCTTTCAGAGACCAAAAGGGGGAAAATGTAAAGACGCTCTTATCTGCTGTGCTTTATTTCTTGATGTATCACAACTGTATCTTGTCCTTTATTTGTATCTGCTTGGCTTTTGGATCTGCTTGTCTTTTGGTATCAACAAGTACAGATTGAACTAAGTCAGAGAAGGCATTTAAGTTTTTTGTGTACGGGACATGAACTAACAGGGAGCTGCTGGTGTGTGTCCCACCTGATGACAAGATCACCAGTAAACTGTAACGGCAGAAGAAACTAATAAAACCCCATAAAAGGCCTTCCATGAAATGAAGACATCAGTTTGAACTAGTTTAGACAAAGAACTGAAAGAATGTTGTGACATGTCTCTGGGTGGAACTTTTGTGCTTCAATACAGAAGAAGCTGAAAACTCCGGTCAGACGTGTCTTGGGTTTTTGCTGTATCTCTGTTGGTTTGGGGTAAAAGCGTCTCCTTTCAGCTGAAAGCTTTAATAAATGTTGGTAATACTTTTTAACTTGAATCTCTGACTGATTATTGTGTCTTTTCTCCATGTATCTCCAAACCAATGAGAGGAACAGGTGAATAGGCAGAAAAGACTGAGTTTTTGTGTTGATTTTCCTTGACAGCCATATAGGAGTATTAAAAAAAGAGGATGCTGGTCTCACCCATGTCCTCGTATGCTGAGGTTGAAGCAGCCCAGTCTGTCACAGCCCAGAGAATCTGCTCCACACTGCAAACACAAACACTTGGTCATTGGTCTTACCATAATTGCCGGTGTACAAGCCTCTATTTTTTTCTTACACTTTGTTCAATGTGGTTTATATGCAGCAGCAGCTAATTTATTTAAGATTTTTTCAGAATTTAAATAATTTATCCATACATCAATTAATTATCTTCCAATTATTCCAAAGTCGGGATGCAGGGGCAGCAGCTTGAGCAGGGAGGCCCAGACATCTCTTTCCACAGCCATCTCTTCTAGCTCTTCTGGGAAGATTCCAAGGCCCAGGCCAACTGACAGACATAGTTTCTTCAGCGTGTCCTGGATCTTCACCAGGGTCCCCTTCCAGTTGGACATGCCTGAAGCACCTCCCTAGGGACACGCCCAGGGAGCATCCTTACCAGATGCCCGAACCACCACTGGCTCCTCTCAACGTGGAGGAGCAGTGGTTCTACACAGAGTCTCTCCTGGATAACTGAACTTCTCACCCCATCTCCAAGGAAGAGTCCAGCTACCCTGCGGAGGAAACTCATTTCAACCGCCTGTATCCGCAATCTCATTCTTTCGGTTAACACCCAGAGCTCGTGACCACACGTGTGGGTAGGAACGTAGACCGACCGTTAAACAGAGAGCTTTGCCGTACAGCTCAGCTCTCTCTTCACCACAATGGACAGGTACAGAGTCTGCAATACTGCAAACGCTGCACCAATTCATCTGTCCATCTCACGCTCCATTCTCCATCAGTCTTTCTCATCCAAAATGGAAATCAGACAAGCCACTTTTATTATGGTATGGTATAAAGTTTATTAATAAAAATAAAAAATAAAAAAAAAACAATTCCATAACAATATAAAAAATATAAGAGATTTAAAATGAAAGGCAGCAGAAGAAGAAAAAAATCTTATTATATCTGCCCCTTTTTTCAAACAATTAGTTCAATCACAATAATTTTCAAGTAACAGAACAAAATGAATAACTCTTTTTAATTTTTCTAATTCTAATACAAAAAACACACTAAGCTAATTTATATATATTTTTTGAACAATTCAGCTTTGATCTTTTTCTTAAATGTACACATTGACTTGGCATTTTTAACATCACTCTCTAGACCGTTCCAGAATCCATTTCCTTGAATTGAGGTAGACCTTCCCTTCAGACTACAGGTCCTTCTAAAAAAATTAGCATATTGTGATAAAGGTCATTCTTTTCCACAATGTAATGATAAAAATGAAACTTTCATATATTTCAGATTCATTGCACACCAACTGAAATATTTCAGGTCTTTAATTGTTTTAATACTGATGATTATGGCATACAGCTCATGAAAACCCAAAATGCCTGTCCCAAAAAATTAGCATATTTCATCCCACCAATGAAAGACAAGTGTTTTTAATACAAAAAACACCAACCTTCAAATAATCATGTTCAGTTATGCACTCAATACTTGGTCGGGAATCCTTTTGCATGAATGACTGCTTCAATGTGGCGTGGCATGGAGGCAATCAGCCTGTGGCACTGCTGAGGTGTTATGGAGGCCCAGAATGCTTCGATAGCGGCCTTAAGCTCATACAGAGTGTTGGGTCTTGCGTCTCTCAACTTTCTCTTCACAATATCCCACAGGTTCTCTATGGGGTTCAGGTCAGGAGAGTTGGCAGGCCAATTGAGCACAGTAATACCATGGTCAGTAAACCATTTACCAGTGGTTTTGGCACTGTGAGCAGGTGCCAGGTTGTGCTGAAAAATGAAATCTTCATCTCCATAAAGCTTTTCAACAGATGGAAGCATGAAGTGCTCCAAAATCTCCTGATAGCTAGCTGCATTGACCCTGCCCTTGATAAAACACAGTGGACCAACACCAGCAGCTGACATGGCATCCCAGACCATCACTGACTGTGGGTGCTTCACACTGGACTTCTGGCATTTGGGCATTTCCTTCTCCCCAGTCTTCCTCCAGACTCTGGCACCTTGATTTCCGAATGACATGCAAAATTTGCTTTCATCCGAAAAAAGTACTTTGGACCACTGAGCAACAGTCCAGTGCTGCTTCTCTGTAGCCCAGGTCAGGCGCTTCTGCCGCTGTTTCTGGTTCAAAAGTGGCTTGACCTGGCGAATGTGGCACCTGTAGCCCATTTCCTGCACACGCCTGTGCACGGTGGCTCTGGATGTTTCTACTCCAGACTCGGTCCACTGCTTCCGCAGGTCCCCCAAGGTCTGGATTCGGCCCTTCTCCACAATCCTTCTCAGGGTCCGGTCACCTCTTCTCGTTGTGCAGCGTTTTCTGCCACACTTTTCCCTTCCCACAGACTTCCCACTGAGGTGCCTTGATACAGCACTCTGGGAACAGCCTATTCGTTCAGCAATTTCTTTCTGTGTCTTACCCTCTTGCTTGAGGGTGTCAATGATGGCCTTCTGGACAGCAGTCAGGTCGGCAGTCTTACCCATGATTGCGGTTTTGAGTAATGAACAAGGCTGGGAGTTTTTAAAAGCCTCAGGAATCGTTTGCAGGTGTTTAGAGTTACGTCGTTGATTCAAATGGTTAGGTTAATAGCTTGTTTAGAGAACCTTTTCATGATATGCTAATTTTTTGGGACAGGCATTTTGGGTTTTCATGAGCTGTATGCCATAATCATCAGTATTAAAACAATTAAAGACCTGAAATATTTCAGTTGGTGTGCAATGAATCTGAAATATATGAAAGTTTCATTTTTATCATTACATTGTGGAAAATAATTACCTTTACCACAATATGCTAATTTTTTTAGAAGGACCTGTATGCCTCTTTTGCGACTGTCTATTGTCGTTGTTCACTGTTGTCATCACTCTTTGTTAAGAAATCAGTTCTTTCTTGTAAATGAGTCTCCGAGGCTCACTGGGATTAACCTGTCTAAATAAAGGTTGAATGAATGAATGAAAACTAATGTTCTATTTCGTATAGGCTTCGCCCTTTAAGGCTGTCGCTAGTGGGTTTATCCAGTCATGCAAAGCATCGCACTGAAAAAATTAGGCCACGTCCACCTGTTGTGTGGGCCCCACCCAGTTCGTATAAATTACTTTAAGAGTGGGTAATCTGCTCCCATTTTTCTTCAGCAAGCTAATAGCCCTGTCAGAAGAACGAAAGTTGTCCAGCTTGACTGGCACAACCTTTGTTAAGGCTGCATGGGGTCCCGCCACGCCAACCTCCTGCCATCCCGGTGAGTTCTCCTCCCCGAGGAGAAGCAGACGAGCAGCCTTGTTTCAAGGTAAGCGCTGAGGAATATTTCTCAGTGGCGGGTCGCTACACACTGGACAACTCCATCAACCTTTTTTCCTTTTAACGCCAACTCTCGGAGCAAATCGGATGGTTCCTCTGGGACAGGCGACGTCAGCAGCAGCCCCCGCTGCTCACTCCCTCCTGGAGAGTGTAGTGTTGGAACGAGGGGGGCTGAGTGGATGCACACCCCCCCGGGCCTTTTCGCATCGACGACCACACCGCTCCCAGTTGTCGGTGCCCTCCTCTCGGAGCTGCCCGGCATAATCCAGGAGGCGGTTGACATGAAGGGACTTTTTTCTGTCCCTCTCCTTCCCTTGCCCACATCAGATAATATAGCGGGAAGGTTTTTTGGCTCCACCTCGGCTCGCCGTCCTGATCCCATCTGGCCTCGTTTTTCCAGCATCCTGCGCCTCCGGGGAGGCATGACCAGACAGTGACGTCGCTCTCCAACCGAGCTCACCAGTATGCGTTCCAGGCGTCCGCAGCGAACAATAACGTTGCGCCGCTGACGTACAGCATCTCAGAGGCCGGAGGGACAGACCTGCCTAAGGAGACGAAGAGCTCCCTCTGCAAGGCATCAAAAATGACGTCACCCTCAACCCGTGTGACCCGTCTGCAGTCTGCCTGTCTCGCATCGCAGCCTGGATGACAATGGTTCAGAGGTCCACCTGGCTTGTCAGTCCCCCTCCCTGTCGGAGAAGCTGCAGATGGACTCGCTGGAAGGCCCCATCACGAAGGACGCGCTGTTCTGAGCCAATTTTCAAGGACATGCTCGAGAAATCGAAAAAGCCGGAGATTGTGCGCCATCTGATCAAGCCGCACCCCTCCTCTCGCCCCCCCCGCCTGCTGGAGAGAATGCCGTGGCCGGGACAGCAGAGACGCGCCACAGCTCCAGCAGCGTCTTCTCGCTCCGCCGCCAGCCCCCCC